TCTGTGAAGCCATTCTCCAGGAGAAGTAAATTTTCTTTATACATTAACATTATGTTCTAACAGCTTTTTGCTCTTCATCAATTCATTCAAGAAGCATATAACAAGTATTTAAGGTATGTCATACACTGTGCTGGGAGCTCTAGCAGCATAGTGCCTAAGGCCTTTGACTGCTAACCAGAAGGCTGGCAGTTCAAACCCACCAGCCACTCCTCAGAAGGAAGGTTGGACAATCTACTTCTGTAATGATACCACGTCGGAAATCCAAGGAGGGGTTGCTATGAGTCAGGTTCGACTTGACAGCAATGAGTTTATACACTGTGCTTAAGCTCTGGGGGAATTTATCTTTAAGTTTGTAAAGCTTATACATTTTTCCACATACCAAAAACAAACAAACAAAAAAAAACCCCTCACTGCCATCAAGTCGATTCTGACCCATAGCAACCCCCTCTCTGTTTCCAAGGCTGGAAATCTTTACGGAAGTAGACTACCCAGTCTTCCTTCTGTGGAATGGCTGGTGGGTTTGAACCGCCAGCCTTCTGGTTAGTAGTCAAATGCCTTAGGCACTATGTCACCAAAGCTCCCTCTTCCACATATATCTCATTTAGTATTTCTTTTGTATTTGTGTACTATCTCACACACAAAAAAGCAAACTCACCGCTGTCAAGTACATTCGACTCATAGCAACCCCTCCTTGAATTTCCAAAGCGTATGTCTATGGAAGTAGACTGCCCAGTCTTCCTTCCAAGAAGTGTCTTCTGGTTAGCAGTCAAATGCCTTAAGCACTATGCTTCCAGAGCTCCCACTACACCACCAGAGCTCCTGTAATACCTCATAGGATATTATAATTATTTGTTTACTATTTCTCTAGCTAGAATGAGTTCTCAGGAGGTAGGGAATGCATCTGATTTATCAACATTTTGACAGAAGACATTTATTAAATGCTTGATAAATGAGTAACAGACTCTTGTTAGATTAACAAAATATCAAATAGGATTAAAACTGAAAAAATCCTTGAAAGTTTCCATGGGGAAAGGGGAAGATATGTTTTATTAGGCAAACACATTATCTGGGGAGAGAAAATTCCTCCCTATAGCAGAGCACCTCCAATTCCAGTTTTACTGTTAGTCACATACCAACTGAAGATGAATTTGATTTCATTACTGAACTAACAAGTTTCAAGTGGAGAAAAACAAGTTCTCTATAAAAGCTCCTAACTAGGTCATTGTGTTTTGTAAAACTGGACATTTTCTTTATTTTATTGTACTGTTACTTGGGTGAAAGTTTATAGAGAATATTCATGTTCCATACAGTTCACATACACTTTGAATCATGACATTGACTGCAATCTCCCATAATACAACAGCTCTCCTCCCTTTTCCTCCCCATAGCCACCTCTTCCCTGTATACTTCCCTCCTCCCATGCACTAAAACTGGACATTTTCACATGAATATTAGAGTAAGTATTGTCCAGAGTAGTATTAATTTGCTTTACTGTCTTTTTACAATCCATGATATGATGGATATATTTCAATATTCTATAAACTCTCCAGTTTTCCACTTAAGATCTGCTTTTTTAGGACCACTTGAATATGATTACCTTTATAATAGTGTTTTATTATTATTATTTAAATAACCAAACTCACTGCCATTAAGTCGATCCTGACTCATAGCAACCCCCACTGGGTTTCCAAGGCAGTAAATCTTTACTGAAATATATTGCCCCATCTTCCTTTCATTGATCAGCTGGTGGGTTTGAACCACCAACCTTCTGGTTAGCAGTTAAATAAATGCCTTAGGCACTATGCCACCAGAGCTCTAGTGTTTTCTTTTTGAAATCATGTTTCACAAAGAAAATACACAAAATATATGTATGTGCTATTTAAATCATTTCAACAAAGTAAGTAATATGCAGCAAATACAAAGTTAAAAGTGAGGCTGAACTACAAATGCTGCTGTCCAGATGGTCTGAGCTTACTCATTAGCTAAATGACCCCCTCCTTAACACCAGCTCCATAGTATGTAACATTCTAATTTTTATCTCAACAAAACTATTTATCGTGACCCTTCAGGGTTCATAAATAACTGAGAAAGCTAATGTCAAATCCTTGAATGGCAAGAGTCTGCTATATTATCCCACTCACAGATGTTATACTCTGAACATTATTTGTTGGTGTTGTCTGGTGCCATTAAGTTGGTTTTGACTCATAGTGACCCTACGTACAAGAACGAAACACTGCCGGGTCCTGCACCATCCTCACAATTGTTGCTATTCTTGAGCCCACTATTGCAGCCATTGTGTCAATCTATCTCATTGGGAGTCTTCTCCTTTTTCGCTGGCCCTTTACTTTACCAAGCATGATATCCTTCTCCAGAGACTGGTTCCTCCTGATAACATGACCAAAGTACAAGAGGCAAAAACTGGCCATTCTTCTAAGAAGAATTCTGACTACTTCAAGACAGATTTGTTCATTCTTCTGAGAGCCCATAGTATATTCAACATTCTTCACCAACACCACAATTCAAATGCATCAACTCTTCTGTGGTCTTTCTTATTCACTGTCCGGCTTTCACATGTCTATTAGGCTATTGAAAAGATAATGGCTTGGGTCAGGCACAGCTCAATCTTCCAAGTGACATCTTTGCTTTTAAACACTTTAAAGAGGTCTTTGCAAGAGATGTGCCTCATGCAATACACAGTTTGATTTCTTGACTGTCGCTTCCAAGTAAAAGGAAATCCTTGACCACGTCAGTATTTTCTCCATTTATCATGATGTTGTTTATTGGTCCAGTTGTGAGGATTTTTGTTTTATGTTGAAATGTAATCCATACTGAAGTCTTTGATCTTCATCAGTAAGTGCTTTAAGTCATCCTCACTTTCAGCAAGCAAGGTTGTGTCATCTGCATATCGCATGCTCTTCTTCATACAGTCTAGCTTCTTGGATTATTTGTTCAGGATACAGACTGAACAAGTATGGTGAAAGTATACAATCCTGACACATAACTTTCCTGATTTTAAACCATGCAGTATCCCCTTGTTCTGTTCAAATGATTGCCTCTTGGTCTCTGTACAGGTTTCTCCAGAACACAATTAAGTGTTTTGGAATTCCCATTCTTTGCAACATTATCCATAACTTGTTATAATCTGACAGTTGAATGCCTTTGCAGTCAATAAAACTCAAGTAAACATCTTTCTGGTATTCTTTGCTTTCAGCCAAGATCCATCTGACAGCAGCAATGATATTCCTTGTTCCATGTCCTCTTCTGAATCCAGTTTGAATTTTTGGCACTTCTCTATGCACTGCTGTAACCTTTTCTGAATTATCTTCAGCAAAATTTGCATGTGATAGTAATGATATTGTTAGATAATTTCTGCATTCTGGTGGGTCACCTTTCTTTGGAATGGGCACAAATATGTCTCCTCCAGTTGGATGGCCAGGTAGCTGCCTTCCAGATTTCTTGGCATAAACAAGTGAGGGCTCTGGCATTACACTCATTAGTTGAAATGTCTCAATGAGTATTCCATCAATTCCTGGAGCCTTTTTTTTTGGCCAATTACTTCAGTGCAGCTTGAACTTCTTCCTTCAATACTATTGGTTCTTGATCATATGCTACCCCCTGAAATGGCTGAAAGTCAATCAATTCTTTTTGGTACAGTGACTCAGTGTATTCTCCCCATCTTCTTTTGATGTTTCCTGCATCACTTAATATTTTGCCCACAGAATCCTTTCATAATGCAACTCAAAGCTTTAATTTTTTTCTTCAGTTCTCTCAGGTTGAGAAATGCTGAGAGTGTTCTTTTGATTTTCAAACTCCAGGATTTTGCACATTTCATTATAATACTTTACATGTCTTCTTGAGCTACCATTTAAAATCTTCTGTCAAGTTCCTTTACCTCATCATTTCTTCCATTAGCTTTCACTACTCTTCATTCAAGAACAAGTTTCAGGGTCTCTTCGGACATCCATTTTGGTCTCTTCTTTCTTTCCTGTGTCTTTAACAACCTTTTGCTTTCTTCATGTATGATGTCCTTGAT